GTCCATCCTTCTCCCGTGCTGGATGCTTCCTGTCCTCGAACATCGGATTCCAGGTTCTTCAGTTTTGGAGCTTGGACTGGCTTTCCTTGCTCCTCAGCTTGAAGATGGCCTATTGTGGGACCTTGTGATCGAGTGAGTTAATACTTAATAAACTGCTCTTTATATATATGTATATATTTATATATATTGCATTAGTTCTGTCCCTCTAGAGAACCTGACTAATACAGTCCCCTAACCACCGTGAAGTAGTTATTATTGTTGTTGTCACCCTCATTTTAAGGTGAGGAAATAGAGGCACAGAGAGAGGAAGTACTTTACCCAAGGACATAGAGATAAGACAGAGAACAGGCTGCGCTGGCTGCATCATTTTCAGGGCCAAGCACAAAATGAGAATGTGGGGCTCTGGCCAGGGGGTGGGGAAGTCAACTCTCCTTCTCGTACTGGATAGGTGACCCCTAAGGGATGGTTGCTTCTGCTACCCAGGCCATATTTGGTACCTGGATGGGGGTGGGTGGAAGGCCCTGCCAGTCGCTGAGGCACTGCCAACCTAGGGCAGGGATAGCTGCCACCTTAACCCGGAGATACCAGAGAGGGTCAGGGAGCTATGCCCCACCCTGATCCTCTGTGAGACAGTGCCCAGGCACCTACTGGGAGGATGGATGGCAACGGCGGGACAGGAGACTCCACCCGCCCACACTCCTGGGCAATGAGACCCGGTTGCTGCCCTGGGTAGAAGGGGGCAGCAGTTGTGGAGTTGGCTAGAGAGAGCCACAGTGCAATGGGGTAGCAGGCACCCAAGAGGAGGGAGGAGGGGCGGGGAGGTGGGGCTGTGCATGAGCTGAGGCGCCAAGACCCGTTGTGTGTGCTCCATTGCTCATCAACCATTAATCTTCACTTAAAACACACACTCAAAGATAAAATTACTAAGAAGCTCAAGTCCGGCCAGGCACAGTGGCTCACGCCTGAAATCTCAGCGCTTTGGGAGGCCAAGGTGGGTGGATCACGAGGTCAGGGGTTCAAGACCAGCCTGGCCAAGATGGTGCAACCCCGTCTCTACTAAAAATACAAAAATTAGCTGGGCATGGTGGCAGGCGCCTGTAATCCCAGCTACTCAGGAAGCTGAGGCAGGAGAATCACTTGAACCCGGGCAGCAGAGGTTGCAGTGAGCTGAGACCACGCCACTGCACTTCAGCCTGGGCAACAGAGTGAGACTCTGTCCCCCACCCCCCAGGAAAAAAAAAAAAAGAAGCTCAAGCCAAAACTATAAAGGATTAAACTCCAAGCTCCCCCCCCCAGCTTTTTTTTTTGAGACAGGGTCTTGCTCTGTCACCCAGGCTGGAGTGAGTGGTGTAATCATGGCTCACTGCTGCCTCCAGAGCTCAAGTGATCCTCCCACCTCAGCCACCCAAGTAGCTGAGACTGGGACTACAGGTGCATACCACCATGCCAGGCTAATTCTTTGTACTTTTTGTAGAGACCGAGTCTCCCTATGGTGCCCAGTCTGGCTTCAAACTCCTGGACTCAAGTGATCTGCCTGCCTTGAATTCTGAAAGTGCTGAGATTGCAGGTGTGATCCCACTGCACTCAGCCTCTGAGCCTTCTTAAGTGTGAGATTCTGTGTGACTGCACTAGTTTCATGTCCAAAGAAGCCAGCCTTGGACATAGTCACATTTACTAACAACTATGGTGAAAGGTCATGGAAATTCAAAATACTTTGAAAAGTGAGAAAGGAAACATTTGCTCAGTGTCTAAAAATCTGCCCTGCCATTCTACTTAGAAAAGTGAAGACTGCTGCAAAATATAGTGATATTAGTCTTGACAATGAAATGTATTCTTTAACACTCCCATGAGGAATATCTTTTTTTATGAAGCCTTACTTTGTAACCATAATAGGTTTGTTGCCCAATGCACTGGACAAGTCAATACACCAAGACACCAGGTTACAGCAGTGAAAGAGGTTTAATTGTAGGGTTGCTGGATGAGGAGACAGGAGGAAACCTCAAATTCATCTCTCTAAGGAGTCAAGGAGTTTGGGGCAAGGTTTTTTTTTTTTTTTTTGAGACAGGATATTGCTTTGTCACCTAGGCTGGAGTGCAGTGACATATCAGCTCACCGTAACCTCTAACTCCTGGGCTCAAGCAATCTTTCCACCTCAACCTCCTGAGTACCTTGGACTACAGGCTTGCACCATCATGCCCAACTAATTTTTTAATGTTTCGTAGAGACAGGGCCTCACTATGTTGTCTGGGCTGGCCTTGAACTCCTGAACGCAAGTGAGCCTCCTACTTTGGCCTTTGAAAGTGCTGAGATGACAGGTGTGAGCTACTGCACCCTGCCTGGGGCTAGGGTATTTAAGGGTTTTGAAGTGGACCAAAGTGTGGAGATCATTGATTGCTTGAAAAGTGCAGGGCGAAGTCATGAGACAGAGAGATGAAGAAATTGTATTCTCACACTGCTTCGGGTCGTGTGTGTGTGTGTGTGTGTGTGTGTGTTGGGGTGGGGGCGGTCTTTAAACTGGTTGATGTCAGCTGTTCTGCTGAAACTTAGGATCTGCCTAAGCAATTCTTTTTTTTTTTTTTTTTTTGAGACGGAGTCTCGCTCTGTCGCCCAGGCTGGAGTGCGGTGGCGCGATCTTCCTGCCTCAGCCTCCTGAGTAGCTGGGACTACAGGCGCCCGCCACCGCGCCCGGCTAATTTTTTGTATTTTTAGTAGAGATGGGGTTTCACCGTGGTCTCGATCTCCTGACCTTGTGATCCGCCCGCCTCGGCCTCCCAAAGTGCTGGGATTACAGGCGTGAGCCACCGCGCCCGGCTGCCTAAGCAATTCTTAAACAAAACTCTTATGATTCCAGAGCCAGAAATCCTACCTATTGAAACAATAGGCATGCAAATGATCAGTACCTACTGTTACCTGAAGTCGAGTGATCAATACGAAGAAGCAGGCCAAACTGCAGCCTGACTAACGCTTACTTACAATTCTATTTCTGTGCAGAATTCTCAACTTTGTAAGGATGGCTTCAACTTGGTCTTCCCAAATAGAATTGACCACACTTTCATTGTGCTCCTTTCTAATTTGTGTAATTATAATGTTAAGAACTTGGGATTTTGAATGAGACAAACCTGGGTTGAAATCCCAGGTCTCTCGGTGACTAGTTTTGAGACCTGGGCAAATTACTTGCATCTCTGTTTTGTCACCTGGAAACAGGGATAAGGAAACTCAGTGGCGGCTGCAGCATAGCTATACCAAATAGGCTTACAGGTGGCAATCTAGCTGGAAAGGGAGCTGAAGGACTTGTGTTGAAACTATGTTTGCAAAAGAAGGCACATTTGTTTTCACTAAGATTTTATATTTATTTCAAGTGTGTTTGGGAACGGGGAGCACGTGGAGATTAAGAGGGTAAAAATCAAGGTCACCAATGAGAGTACTTAGCACAGTGCCTGACACCTAAAAAATTAACTGCAAATTTGTATTAGGTTTTTTCCACTAGATTGAATTTCTTAAGAGCTGGATTCTATCTTATTTATCTGCAACTAACAATGCTTGGCACCAAATGTAGAATTGAAATGAATTTTCTTTACAATCTTGACTAAAAAATGAGGGTTTTGTCAATAACTTCGTAGAGCAAAAGAAGTTTCTTAAGGCCTCTTGATATTCTTCCTGTTGGAAACACAAAGAAGCTAAAAAGTTTGGAAAAATTAAGTTGACAAGGTCTTTTATTATCAAACACTCAAACTTATTCCTTACTGCCTTGTTAACACTTGATTTGACACTTTTTTTTTTTTTTTTTTTCCTGTTTGAGACAGAGTCTTGCTCTACTGCCCAGGCTGGAGTGCAGTGGTGCAATCCTGGCTCACTGCAACCTTGGTTCAAGCGATTCTCGTGCCTCAGCCTCCTGAGTAGCTGGGATTACAGGCGCCCGCCACCATGCCCGGCTAATTTTTGTATTTTTAGTAGAGATGGGGTTTCTCCATGTTGGCCAGGCTAGTCTCGAACTCCTGGCCTCAAGAAATCCACCCGCCTCGGCCTCCCAAAGTGCTGGGATTAGAGGCGTGAGTCACCATTTGTCTCATTTTTGTTTACATTTAAAATAATAAACCTTGAGGTCGGGCGCGGTGGCTCACGCCTGTAATTTCAGCACTTCGGGAGGCCGAATCGGGTGGATCATCTGAAGTCAGGAGTTTGGGACCAGCCTGGCCAACATGGTGAAACCCCCGTCTCCATTAAAAATACAAAAATTAGCGGCCAGGCGCGGTGGCTCACGCCTCTAATATCAACAGTTTGGGAGGCCGAGGCGGGCGGATCACAAGGTTAGGGGTTTGAGACCAGCCTGGCAAACATGGTGAAACCCCGTCTCTACTAAAAATACAAAAATTAGCCGGGTGTGATGGCAGGCGCCTATAATCCCAGCTACTCGGGAGGCTGAGGCAGGAGAATCGCTTGAACCCGGGAGGCGGAGGTTGCAGTGAGCCGAGATCGCGCCATTGCACTCCAGCCTAGGCGATAAGAGCAAAACTCCGTCTCAAAAGTAAATAATAACAAAATAAAATAAAAAACCTTAAACGCCATCGATGTAAGTTGGGAACTCCTATAGCAAGATTCCATACATCCCATTTTTGGACGTTTTATTCCAAAGACACAAGCAAAAGGAAGAAAGACTGCAGCTAACCGCTGCTAACGACAACTTGGTGACTGCACGATCATTGGACGACGGTTATATCCTCGCCATCCAATCGTCGGAAAGTCCGGAGAGAAACCTCTTTGGATTGGTTAGAGGAAACATCTCTCCAAACTCACTCAAGAAGGGGTTGGGCGCGGGGGTTCGGCCGGCAACGCCTCTGGCCAGTCAGAGAAAGCATGAGGGCGGGCTTTGCCGCAGGAAGGTGGTGAATCTCGGCGGGTCAGACCCGCCTGCGAGAGGGTGGGCGTGGCCTCCAGTAGCGGTCTCCTGGCTCTCTGGGCCAGAGCGCGGAGTGGGCGGGGCCCACCGGCCTGGGCGGGGCGAGCGGTGTCAGCGGCGGAGCCGGATGCGGGCGGCACCGCGGCGGTCGCGGCCCTGGGGATGGGCGGAGCCCCAGCCGCTAGTGCTGGTGGCCGCCGCTGCTGCCCCAGCTGGAGCCCGAGCCGCAACCTCTGCGTCCGCGCGTCGCTGCTTCCCAGGGCGGCGGTATGCTGGGGAAAGGAGTAGTCGGCGGTGGCGGCGGCACCAAGGCCCCCAAGCCCTCCTTCGTGTCGTACGTACGCCCTGAGGTGAGGGGGCGCCGCGCAGGCGGGGCGTGGGGCAGGGGCGACCCGGGAGAGGGGCGCCGGGAGCCCCTTCCCTGCCGCGGGGAGTGCCGCGGAGCGCTTCCTGCCCTTGTGCCGGGCGACGGGGCAGCCAGGCGGGCTGAGGCCGCAGGGGCGCGCTGGGGCCTCCGCGCGGGCCAGAGTGGGGACCCTGGCGCAGGCAGGCAGGTGCCCGAGCGCAGGGCCCGGCCGCTGGAGGCTGGTGGAGGGGCCCGAGCCGAGAAGGGATTGCGGCCCGGAACGCCCCTGGGGATTCTGGCCAGGACTTGAGGTTGTGGGCACTGCTAGGAGGGGTAGGGCCGGCGGTCGGAGCCCCTAACGGGGCCTGCTCGGAGCCCGCGTGGGTCCGTCCTGCCTCTGGACTTCCTCAGTGAGCCCGGGAGCCCGCCGGCCTCCGCTGCCGGCCTCTGAGTGTCTCAGGTGCCGCTGGCGGGATGCCTTGCACCTACGTCCGCCTCCCGTCAGCTCTGCGGGGAGAAACGGGGGTCGGCCTGGCCTCGGCCAGTCTCTGCCTCTCCCTTGGGAATTCTCCGCTGTCGCTTCTTTCTCCTCATCCTCTCACCATCATTCTTTCCACCCACTTCTTACTGTTCTGAATCTTCAGGTCAAGAAGTTTGTTCATTCATTCAGAAAATACTTCTCGAGCTCCTACTATGTGTCAGGCACTAAGTGCTTGTGATAGACATCAGTGAACAAGACAGAGATCTCTGCTCTCCTGGAACTTATTTGAGGGGGAGAGGAGAAACAGGGTGAATTATAGATATTTAAGTAAATTATACTGTGTAGTAGGAGGCGATAAATATCGTGGTAAAGGAAAGAAATCTTTTTCCTCCGCGCAAAGGTGGCATTTGAGCCGAGACTTGAAGATGTGAGGGGTCTGAGAGAAGAGTCGTCCAGGTAGAGAGAACAGCCCCCGGGAAGGTCGTGAGGTGGGAGTGTGTCTGAAGGGTTGGCGGAGCGTCAAGGAAGCCAGCATGGCAGAGGCCCATGGACAAGGGGGACAGTCCTAGGAGAGGAGGTTAGAGAGATCAGAACTTGTAGGCCTTGCTCAGGGCATCTTGAGTAATAGTTCTTAATCCAAATGCCTAATGAGATGCCTTCTCATTTTGGATCTGTGAAGGTTTTTTTCTGCTCTTCTCTCCAGCAGAAGTGCAGAATCACCGCCAAATTTGTTGCAGATGTCTTCCCACCTCTGTAATGCAGAAGTACGTGGGCTGTGGATGAGAGATCTGATCAGGGACTGCTTCTGTAAGACCACCTGGGGCCTGAGGCATTTGCATATATATCTTTAAATTCAAGATATGTGTGTTTTCTCCAGGGGAGAGTGCTCTTAAAATGGGTCTTATTTTTAGTCCTAGTTGTAAAATACAAACCATTTCCTCTGTTAGCACTTGACGTGGAGTCAGGGTCATCTTACAGTTTCAGCAGGCTTCCCTTGTGGTATCACACGTAAGTAATATGGTCAGTTTCTCTCTGTGTCTTTTAAAAACATTTAAAATTAAAAAAAAATTTTGTGGGTATAGTAGGTGTATATATTTAATGGGATACATAAAATATTTGGGCTGGGCGTGGTGGCTGACACCTGTAATCCCAGCACTTTGGGTGGCTGAGGTGTGTGGATCACCTGAGGTCAGAAGTTCGAGACCAGCCTGGCCAACATGGTGAAACCCCGAAATTAGCCAGACGTGGTGGTGCACACCTGTAATCCCAGTTACTTGGGAGGCTGAGGCAGGAGAATCGCTTGAACGCAGGAGGCGGAGGCTGCAGTGAGCCGAGATCACACCACTGCACTACAGCTTGGGCGACAGAGTAAGACTCCATCTCAAAAAAAAAAAAAAAAGAAAAAAAATCTTTGGATACAGGCATATAATGCATGAATGGAGTATCCATCACTGCAAGCATTTATCCTTCCTTTGTGTTACACACTATCCAATTATACTCTTTAATTTATTATAAAATATAAAATAAATTATTGTTGACTGTAGTCACCCTGTTGTGCTGTCACTTACTAGATCTTATTCTGTTTTTTTTGTACCCATTAAACATCCCCACTTTCCTTTCCCCTTCCTAGCTTTTGGTAACCATCGTTCTGCTATCTCTATGAGTTCAATTGTTTTAATTTTTAGCTCCCACAAATAAGTGAGGACATGCAAAGTTTGTCTTTCTCTTCCAGAGGTAGTTCACTTAACATAATGACCTCCATTTCTATTCATTGTTGCAAATGACAGGATCTTATTCTTTTTTATGCCTGAGTAGTACTCCCTTGTGTATATGTACCACATTTTCTTCATCTATTCATTTGTTGATGATGGACACTTTGGTTGCTTCCAAATCTTAGCTATGGTGAATAGTGTTGTAATAAACACGGGAGTGCAGATTTCTCTTCCATATACTGATTTCCTTTCTTTGTTTCTTTTTTCCTTTTTTAGAGACGGGATCTTGCTTTGTTGCTTAGGTTGAAGTACAGTGGCATGGTCACAGCTCACTGTAGCCTCCACCTCCTGTACTCAAGTGATTTTCCCAGGTAGCTGGGACTACAGGTGCATGCCAGAGCACCTGGCTAATTTTAAAATTTTTAGTAGAGGTAATGTCTTGCTGTCTTGCCCAGGCTGCTGTCAAACTCCTGGGCTCAAGGAATCCTTCTGCCTCAGCCTCCCAAAGTGCTGGGATTGTAGGCGTAAGCCACCACGCCTGGCCCTGATTTCCTTTCTTTTGGGTGTATACCTAGCAGTGGGCTTGCCGGATCATATGCTAGCTGTATTTTTAGTTTTTGAGGAACCTCCGTACTGTTCTCCACAGTGGTTGTATTGATCTACGTTCCTACCAATAGTGTATGAGGGTTCCCTTTTCTCCACACCCTTACCAGCTTTCGTTATTGTTTACCTTTTGGGTATAAGCCATTTTAACTGGAATAAAATGATATCTCATAATTTTTTTTTTAACATTTAAAGATTTGTTAAAAATATGAAGCGCTTCATGAATTTGCATATCATCCTTGCACAGGGGCCATGCTAATCTCTGTGTCCTTCCAATTTTAGTATATGTGATGTCGAAGCGAGTACTCATTGTAATTTTGATTTGCGTTTCTCTGGTGATCAATGATGTTAAGCACATTTTCATATACCTTTTTTTTGCCATTTGTATATCTTCTTTTGAGAAATGCGTATTCAGGTCTTTTGTCCATTTTTAAGTGGATTATTAGATTTTTTCCTATTGAGTTGTTTGAGCTTCTTACATATTCTTGTTATTAGTCCCCTGTTAGATAGACGGTTTGTAAATATTTTCTGCCATTCAGTGGGTTATCTCTTCATTTTGTTGATAGTTTCCTTTGCTGTGCAGAAGCTTTTTAACTTGATGTGATCCCATTTGTTCATTTTTGCTTTGGTTGCCTATCCTTGTCGGGTATTCTTTGTGTCTTTTTTTGATAGAGCCTTGGTTGAAGTGCAACTGATCCTTAAACTTTTCAGTGAAATTAAATTACAAGTGGAAAGTCTTCTGAAATGTGGCCAGAGTTCAAGAATGTTCAAATTCTTCATCCACCAAGTGCACATGTTGTAATTAGACATGTTTCCCTCTGCCCACAGTGCCTGATACATTTCCTTTGAGGGATAATTAGGGAAGGGGAGTGGTTCAGCTCCAAAATAAGCCTGAAGTGGTCACGTTTTTCAGATCCTTATAGTTGGCAGTTTTGTTTTCTTGCATTAAAATAATGCTGTGCAGACACTATGTCTCTTTGTTGTAGTCTGACTCTAAATATGTTTTGTAACGGAGGATAAGGCTCTGTCCTAAATTGTGGATGGTTTTTTAAAAGATAAGGGTTAAGGGTAAGGCCGGGCGTGGTGCTCACACCTGTAATCCCAGCACTTTGGGAGGCCCAGGTGGGTGGATCACGAGGCCAGGAGATTGAGACTATCCTGGCCAACATGGTGAAACCCCATCTCTACTAAAAATACAAAAATTAGCTGGGCGTGGTGGTGCATGCCTGTAGTTAGTCCCAGCTACTCAGGAGGCTGAGGCAGGAGAATCGCTTGAACCCGGGAGGCAGAGGTTGCACTGAGCCAAGATTGCGCCACTGCATTTCACCCTGGCGACAGAGTGAGACTCCATCTCAAAAAAAAAAAAAAAAAAAAAAAAAGATAAGGGTAGGAAGGGGTGAGAAGGCAATGTATTTTTAAGTATATAGATTTTGCCAGGTAATCATATTATGGGAAATGCAGGTGAGCAGCATCAAGGCATGGCTTATGTGCTTCTGAGAGCCCTGGGTCTGGTAACTTTCTCTTGGCTTACGCAGTGGGAGGAGTTCCTCAGGACACTTTTCTGAACTGTCCTCTCCTGTTTCTACCCTGCTTTCCCTCATGTTGCCTTTCTCTGAACTGCCTTGGTGTATGTCATGCTGTTGCTTATTTCTTTTTTCTTTTTTTCTTTTTTTTTTTTTTTTGAGATGGAGCCTCATTCTGTCACCCAGGCTGGAATGTAGTGGCATGCTCTTGGCTCACTGCATCCTCCGCTTCCCAGGTTCAGGCAATTCTCCTGCCTCAGCCTCCCAAGTAGCTGGGACTACAGGCGCGCACTACCACGCGTGGCTAATTTTTGTATTTTTAGTAGAGATAGGGTTTCGCCATATTGGCCAGGCTGATCTCGAACTCCTGACCTTGTGATACACGCGCCTCGGCCTCCCAGAGTGCTGGGATTACAGGCGTGAGCCACCCCGCCCGGCCAACTGTTGCTTATTTCTTTGTCTGGGTTTTGGTAGCTGGGAAATCTCAGTTTCTTAGACACCTGTTTGTTGGTGGATGACTGAGCTGCCAGAACAACCTTTACACCTTATGATGTAATGATACCTGTACCTGGTGATAAGCTTGTTCTCGGCTGATCAGATAGGTTCAGCAGTGGTGACCCTTCAGTATGCCAGAGAATCTGTCAAGAGTCAGCACTTTGTGTTAGAAACAAAAGTGCTTAACTGG